CAATAAATATTGCTTATTTTAGCACTGTTTTAAATCAGATAGGATACAAACTTTGGAATGGCAACTGGCCCAATTCTTTCACCCTCCAAAAGTGGTTTTTATGTTATGGGGGTAAATAAGCAAACGGGTCAGCTGATGGTAGTGATTACTGTCTATCTTGGACAACTGATATTGAAATCAATGACATACAAAGTACTTACATAGTTAATACTACTAATGTTCAGCTGTAATTTGTTTTCTTAATAAATACAATGGCTATATTGTCAATCTGCCTGAAGGTTGGCAACGAGTAACAACTTAGTACTATATTACAATTGTTGGACGAATTCTCATCCTCAGAACGGAGCAATTGTACCATAATACTAAAAAGATTATCCAAGTCATTTGAGGTCTTCATGTGTTGAAAGGCCAGTGTTTAAAGCCTGTCTCTATTATTATGTAAAAACAATTGATTCAAATTTTTAAATTTCGAACAGTTTATAATCTCATCGCTACTGCCACTGTTGACGGAACGGCCAATGCTATTATTGTTCGGGTTTATGTTTTTTTTTGTGCCAGTATCTCTCAAAAGTCTTGCGTCTCGTCTCACGCAGAACTCTTACATTACGATTAGGTATACGTAGACATGACATTTGCTATTATTATTTATAGCATCACGTAAAGTATCGGACGCATATAGTTGGAATGCAGTTAAATGCAATATCTCTAAATATAACTTTATCGTTACGTTAGTAGAAAGCGAGGAATTCTCTGAATTGCTAACACAATGCTAACGTTAGATCCTAGAAATATCAGAGTAGTTTACTTTTACTCAATTATATTTTTTTATGGTATCTGAAGGCCAACGAACTCACAAATATTATATATTTTATGTATTATTTTTACATTACATTAATTTTTTAAAACACCAATTTGTGTAATAATAATAGGTCTTTACCTATGAAATAGCCGTTTTGTATGCGATAAGTGAAAGTACTTATGTTTTCAAACTTTTTTATTTCTGTTATTCGAAGTAATCACCCATGCAATCGACGCATCTTTGCCAACGCATTGGCAGTTTATTGATGACCTTGCACGTACCGACTATTACTTTTTACAAAATTTAGACAACTTTTTAGTGGGTAAAAAATTCAATTCCCGAGAGGCAGTACAAAATGCCTTTGAAGAGTTTGTTGCCTAGTCCAGCTGATTTTTACAAGATTTTTAATTATTGCATACAAAACGGCAATTTCATAGGTAAAGACCTAATAAATAAACGAGCCTCTCCAAGAATAATTACCTTGATAAATGCGCATAACATAAGGTGTCTTTTCCTTAACCCATACCTATCTTATGTTCGCATAGAAAAATTCAAGTTCAGTCTAAAGACGATTCCTCACTTCAGAACAAACCTGTTGGTCTAGTGGTTAGTGACCCTGACTGCTACTCCAGAGGTCGTGGGTTCGATTCCACCAAGGACAAATAATTGTGTGATGAGCACGGTCATTTGTTCTGTGTCTGGGTCTACTTTATCTATAATATGTATGTATTTAGAAATATATAAGTATGTTTATCAGCAGTCTGGTTACCATTGTCTAGGCTCTGCCTAGTTTGGGATCAGACGGCCGTGACATGTGTGAAAAATTGAGTGAAAAATATGATTAATCTAAACATTTCAGTGCTATAAATTATTTACAGATTAGCAAAAATGATAACCACAACTTTATGTGGGCCAAACAAGAGTGTATGCAAGCATTTAATATTTAAAAAAAACTATAAGATCATTAAACGACGTCTCTGTGTAACTTTTTAACACAATCTGTTGCACCTGCATCTAGTTACCGCGTCACTTATCACATTAACCCTGCCACCGCCGCGTCGGTAATTGGCGCACGCGTAAATAAAATAAACACGACACAGCCGACGCGACGCTCGTGTAAAAGTACAAGTTAGGCGAGCTCGTGTAAACGCGTTGCAATGTTATCAAGTGGTACTTGCGGTGAAATGTAGACTTAATAGATATTTATATTTTATCCTCCTTTATTTTTTTTATTTTTTTTTCGGATACCACCGGTGGCATGTCGGACTCGAACCGACTAAAACCGCACGCCGTCTCGGGTACTAATAGCCGGGGAACCAGATATACCCTAGAAAGGAAGTCCCTGGTGCTATTTTATCCTCCTCATATTTTATAATACTTTACAGGCCGTTTAATATAATTGTTCTTATGGGGTCTAAAAGCCTGTGAACGCCCCAGGAGGCTTCTGCGGTTCTAGAAGGAGTTTGGTTGGCTCTCCTAGCTAACCAGTGGGGTCTAAAATTACAGGACAGACTTAAGGATACGTGACCCCAGTCTCATCAAGCTACTTCTTAGTCCCGTTTTCCCCGCCGATACTTGCGATATTCCTTACCTCCTTTGCTTTATTCGTTTTTCGAGCTCATTTTTTTTTTGCTGTTTTTTATGGGATTTTTCCCACACGCCCACTATTGTAACTGCTGTATACCATGAACAGCAGTGACCACGAACACACCGAGTCTTGACACTCGGGAAGTCCCCGAAAAAGTAAGACTGTCTTGGAACTCGTAAAGAAATTAATCAGAAGTAAATTGGAGGAGTGGTTCTTCCTTTGGTCTGAAATAGATTAAATTCCGAAGGAGAGTTAGGTTAGCTGATATGCTTGACGCATGTGGCCGGCTATAAAACAAACAACCCAAAACATTTTGCATTGTTTTTAATATACCGACTCTCAAACCATATTTTGAGCAGGAAAACGTTTTTAGAATAGTTTATTACCTTATTTATCACATCGGTGGTATTAAAAGGTATCATTAGATACCATTTTTAAGCCAATCCAATCCGCCGCATAGAATATGCTCCCAAGGATTTGCAATGTTTGAGAACTTGAAGTAAAGATTACATGTAATTCCGTTAACCTTCGAAGCAGCTCGCCTGGTATTAAAGACCGATGGTCGATTGAAACACGAAACGTGCCCAGCAGACAGACCGCTAATGCCATAAGACACGGCTAACGAGGCGCACTGCGGGAATAGCAACTGGAATCCAGCCGTACGCCAGATGTACTGCGTAAGTATGAAACTGAACTTTTATTATGTCTGTGAAAATCGTCTTAGAATGGATTTTACCTGACTGATTAGGTACGATTCTCTACGCATTTTTTTTTTGTTAACAAAGTATTTTTATTTTAATGTACTAACCATGAAAAATATAGATTTAATATTTAGTCAGGTTAAAAATGGCACTGATTTTTTTAAATTCAGTTTCATGTGTGAGTCTAGCAGGAGGTTAAATCTAACTCTTACAAATTATTTTTATCCCTTAAATTAACGTGGGCCACAAAGGCGAAATTCATTTTATGGAAAGGAAAATGTAGCAAAATCTTTACGCCCTTGTTAAGTAATTGTATGTTTATAACAATAAGTATTACTTAAATAGTAGATCGCTGTAACCCGAGTAGTAGTACTTTATAGTTCTCAATAATACTTACGGCAAAAAACTCAACAAAATATATGAACATTCCCATTATGTACTTCGGCTTCTACCAAGTCGTTTAATGTATATTCAATGGCTCGGTCGTTAAGTCCATCACCAACATTGTTAGGTTAACTTCGATAGCTATATAAGATATTTAAGACGCACTTAATGTGACAGAAATCAGGCCACGCATTATCTACTAAGGGCCTGGCTAACGACCTCTTTTATCGGCCTGTTCGAACACGACCTGTTGTTCCGGCCGTACGAGGATAATCTATCTATACAAAGGTTTTTGCGCAGGAATATCGTATTAAGGTCATTTATTTATAGCTATCTATTAGAGAGAGCTTTGTACTAAATAATTATTACTTAGAAATTCATAGCGTACAATAGAAAAAGGACGTAGGTCAAACAGATTTTTTGTTGGAATTTGAGTCGTATTACGACGGTAAACCTACTGTGAAAAAACAATTATTAGAATACATAACTTGTGTCGTTCTTTTTATTCTTTCTTAATTACAGGGTTAGCAAACATCTTAAATAAGTTAAGATGTGATAATCATTAAGGATGGTAAAAAATATCTAGTTGTAAACATTCCTTTTACAATAATGTTACTTTAATTATTAAGTACCCTTGTAATGTGATTGATTCACAGGCTACAGAATTATTAACGATTAAATTCAGTCAATGAAAAAATTTACTGTAAATTAAATCTTAAAAATTATCGTAGAGATAACACGTTTATGCAATATACATGAGAAGAAAAACGATCCATAAGCGGCTGTTATCGCTTTAAAGCGACTGCATCGTTAAGAAGCTCATTAGCGAAAGATCATCAGTTGTCTCATTAGACGCATCCAATTAGAGTGTTGCTTAAAGCGCTCTTAAATCATTGCTCCGTGACTCCTGCGGACTTGCACCGTTATTATCGCGAATTTACTTTTAAGTGGGTACTGCAGTTAAACTGTTAATATTGGTTCCAAGTTTAAATTTATCTTTAAAATGGTGTTCTTTTGTTTGACAGTTTTTTTTTTTTCAATTTAATTTTAGAATATTATGTACTGGTGTTTTTGTTTATAAAATAATCTTTAGTTGATCTTGATTCGTTTGTTTTTAGACTGCTATTTATCATACTTTAAGGTTTTTGTTTTTCAAATACTGACGAATTGACTTAATCTACTAGTTTTAGTGATGTTTTTATTGATGTGTAACATCTTTAAATTTGATTTTGTGAAAATAGACGGTATTGTATAAGTGGAAACCGAGGAAGCGTGATCACGCGTCATGCTACAGTTGGTTGGTTAGATGTCAGATATTACGCTTATCAAGCGACTACTGTAAGACTTTTTATTTTAATTGCCTAAATTTGAACCGTATTTAGTAAATGTATTACTAAATTGAGGCACTCCTACCTACAGTCGTAGTACTTTTAAACTATCGCGTTTCGACCATGTTACACTAGCCGTGTTGCTAGGCTGACCAGTTCAATGGTGCAAATTTTAGTTATAAGTAGAAGGATGAATCAATTCACTTAGTTCTAGGTGGACTTACCTTCCCAACTCCGGTGGGCTCTTTGACTCCTAGTCGTCGTAGCAACGCCGGAGGTGGAGGTGGCGGTGTTCGATGTAACGCACCGCTGAACCCTCCAGCAGTCGTGGCGTCGTCGTCCCGTCGTCGCCTCTCGCGGTGTGGAGAACCTGTACTGCATTTTGTTGTTGAGGTTCTGAAACAAAGAAATTTAATAATTATTGTACTCTCTGTACCAACTCGGTTTTGTCACTATTTTAATTTTTTATGGCTTCAGTGATTTTCAAGTAATAATTTTGTACCGTAAATTTTATTAATTAATATTAGTAAATATTATTATTTATTTGGCTATGATGAAGATGAAGGTGGTAAAAATGGCTATGATGGAGCGACATAAATATGAAAATTAAAATAAAAAAATAGTTAGTAAAAAATGCTTTTGTTTTCTTTGTTTGACACTTTAAAATGTTTGTTCACGTATGTTATTGACGTATGACATTGTATATGTTGGTATATTATACAAAAAAATTAAAAAGTTATAAACATCACTATTTTTATGCTCTTCAATGATCATCTCTATATTAGAAAAATAAAAAATACTATTCTGTACTTTAACTTTACACTTATATTCGACTAATAAGGTTTTAGGTTGTAAAACAAACTGATTTACTGGACAATCTAACCTTATTAATTATGTAATGTTTTTAATTTGGAATTATAATATCTTTTTTTTTTCTAATTCCATATTCAAAAACATCCAAACTGCTTCGTAAGGCTAACTTGCTTCTTTATTGCATCGTCATGATTGTAACTTAACTCGGCGTAGGTAAAATAGAAAGGAATTCCTGTCTGGCGTCTCAACCGAATACCGGAAGAGATGACTAAGCAGAAATTTAATTATAATAACAGTTTTATTACAGCTTTATTTATAGTTGGCCTTGAAACATCCCGAAGGAAATGTATACAGTAATTTCAATTGAAATAAGGGTATACCAGATTAAGAATTAGTCATGCTAATGAATGCGAAACCGTCTGGGGTTGGTACATGCAGTCCTGTTGTAGCTGCACTTCTACAACACCAACCTAAAGTTCATCATCATCACATCAACAGCCTTGAATAATCTACTGCTGGATCTATATCCAGCAGTAGATTATTCAAGGCTGGCCTATGCCTCTCCTTAGAAATGAGGTTTTGGCCTATACCACGCTGACCAGACGGGTTGGTATAGGGTTTGTGTCAAGTTTTCCTTTTCTTTGCCGCTGTTGTCCTGCGTAGTTTGTCCCCTTAGTCGGCTTTTACGACGCCCAGGGGATGAATAGGGGTGGTGACACTCCGTATTCTTAATCCGTCACCACACGGACTAAACCTAAAGTTATAATTTTATAAATATTATTTTTATATTAAAATTTTATAGTTAACCTAAAGTTATAATTTTATAAAACCATAGGAAGAGATTTTGTCTTCCTGTATGTGTTTCGTTTATTAAGAATGTGTATCTAGCACGTTCAGTGATAGTGATTTTATAGAAGTGATAAATTAAGCGATAGCTAGATGCTAGTTTAGCTTTTGGTTATTGGTGAAATAAATTCCAGTTTATATGTTCTTGTAAATACCAATTCATCGTAAATATCGCAATTTCAGTATTTGGAAAACTGGAAGATAAAGCGCAGAAACTCACCCCACTGTTACAATCTCCACCTACGATCATATTTCAAACATTTTCATCCGAATAATTGAAAAATAACCTAAGACCATTTATAACGGGCCCCGTCCGTTACCGAAAAGAACCGAAAACTAAGGGAATCGGAAATAAATGCGTTGTACGTGACGTCTCGACTGACCTTTTTCCAGTTTTGAAAAATTCACCTCGACGTCAATACCGGAGTTGTACCGGTGCATTCCGGATGTAGACAAACGGTTCCGGTATGTTTGGAATAAACAAATGAGTGTAAAGTGCTCGTTTTTTATTTTTTTGTTTACTTGTTTTCGAAGAACCTAAAGTTGAGAATTTGAAATAACTAATACATGATGATGCAAATTGTCGAATTCCTGATCAATGGACTATAGGTTTTAATCCAAAACAATGTACAATTGTAACTCAATAGAATGGTTTAAAAGGAATACTGTAATATGCTGCCTACGTAGTTAATGAAGAAAAAAATACAGTCCTCACAAATAGGGCGGTTCAGTTACCCTATTTTCTTTTCTTAGAAAAAAACATTACTGGTCTTCTTCTTATTATGTTTTAACAAGGTAACCCGTGGGAAGGGCTCATCTTTTGTTCTAGTTTCTTAGAAGTATTGCTGTCCAATTCATAAACGATATTTATTTTATAACTAGGCTTCCAAATTAATATTCAAGAATTTTGTAAATAAAAACTTGAATCTTTAATAAGGAACACGAAAAACCAATCAATTAATAAATACTAAAGAAATCCAATACTGTTATAAGAACAAATTTAAAACATCCAATGACATTCCTTGATCGATGTCTCAATAAACACGAGGTTCCAAATTCAAAAAATGCGGCTCGAATTCTTTGACTTTTTTGTCGCGCGTCTACATCCAACTGTAAAGGGGGTTGCACACGGGCGGGTGATGGATGGCGTTTACGTGTCGACTGACGACAAGGCCCGTATTTTATTTTAATGCTATCGGCGTTACACCCGTCCCGAGGAGGCTTAAAATTGAAAATTCTTAATGTCTAGCTATAGAGAAAATAGTGAACGTATGAATTATGAAATATTCAGGATGCGATGTTGGGTATCGTGACGTTATGCACTTATAAAAATATTTCTAAGGAAACGTGAATAAATTTTAGTTGTTGCTCTAATATCTAACAGACATTGTTAGTCTTGTTTTATTTTCTTGTTCTTCTATTTTAAAGTACATTTAATTTATTGTGTCATATGTCTATAAATGAAAAAGAGGTTCATAGCTCTCTATTGGTTCTTTTTCAAGACAATCAGCACATTTTCAAAAAAGAAAAAATATCGTTCCAAATTTAAAAAAAGACTTCTAAAAACGAACAGTGTATGCACGTAAATACTGAGAAAACCGTAAGCCCCTACATACCTGTGCACCTCCCTAGCGTGATGTGGTCGCGTGTCCTCCAATACTTTATTGTTCCCGACTATTAACATTCTTCTAGTGGATTGTTTAGATAGCTCCTACCTCACCACCTCCCGCGGCGTCTGGACGCCTAATACTTAGAAAGGTTTTAGACAAATTTCTTTAATTATGAATTATCATATCACGATTTAAAATGTATTGCATGTTTTTACCCGAAAAGCGCCAGAAGGAGGGTTATATAATTCGAGTGTTTGTATGTACGAGTACGTGCATAAATTTCTTTGGTACGCTTGGTAGCACTGGCTTGATGGATTTTGGTGTTTGAGGTGTCGTTAGATTCATCTTAATTGTGAGAGTGACACTATGTACATGAAAATAAAAAAAAACGAAAATCGCCGGTTTGCTAATTTTAAGTATATTTACATTATCACGTAAAAATAAACCCAACAAAGCAAATACTTCAATTTTAGATTTATATGGTTCGATTTCACGAGATCAAGGTAAATTAGTGTAAAGTGCTCGTCTTTTATTTTTTTGTTTACTGGTTTTCGAAGAACTAAAAGTTGAGTAGACTTTAAAAAAAAAAAAAATTGTCATTATTGATTTGGTGATGGAGCCAGGGGATCGATAGTAGCACTATTTTTCTAGAATGTTGTAATGTGTAATGGTTCTTTTTTGAGTTTTACCTAACTATAATTTTAGAAAAACACTAATATTTATATACCAACCTTAAACGTGCTTACAAACAGAACCATTGATGGCACGACTCATCAGCAGGAAAGAACATCAAACCAATAAGTATATTTATTTGTATAAATTTTAAACATATATAGTACAGAAACAGAACAGCATAAGGTATTCTCTATAAGTCGGGCAAGTCCAGAAAATCTTAATATATATATTCCCAATTTTGTTTTGCCCAAATATCGTCATTATTCCCAAATGGAAAATGAGACTCCAATAATATAATTTAATGAAATAAAATATCTAAACTTATGAGTTACGAAATTAATACCATCAATAAGTAAATTACCAATTAACAGCCTTCAATAGAAAGCTTCGGTACTTTTGCCATTGCCGGTTTGCTAATTTTAAGTATATTTACATTATCACGTAAAAATAAACCCAACAAAGCAAATACTTCAATTTTAGATTTATATGGTTCGATTTCACGAGATCAAGGTAAATGAGTGTAAAGTGCTCGTCTTTTATTTTTTTGTTTACTGGTTTTCGAAGAACTAAAAGTTGAGTAGACTTTAAAAAAAAAAAAATTGTCATTATTGATTTGGTGATGGAGCCAGGGGATCGATAGTAGCACTATTTTTCTAGAATGTTGTAATGTGTAATGGTTCCTCATAGTAGCGCATTTCTTTTTTGAGTTTTACCTAACTATACTTTTAGAAAAACACTAATATTTATATACCAACCTTAAACGTGCTTACAAACAGAACCATTGATGGCACGACTCATCAGCAGGAAAGAACATCAAACCAATAAGTATATTTATTTGTATAAATTTTAAACATATATAGTACAGAAACAGAACAGCATAAGGTATTCTCTATAAGTCGGGCAAGTCCAGAAAATCTTAATATATATATTCCCAATTTTGTTTTGCCCAAATATCGTCATTATTCCCAAATGGAAAATGAGACTCCAATAATATAATTTAATGAAATAAAATATCTAAACTTATGAGTTACGAAATTAATACCATCAATAAGTAAATTACCAATTAACAGCCTTCAATAGAAAGCTTCGGTACTTTTGCCATTTACCGTTCAAGAGGATACTCATCTTCGCTTTTCATTATATTGAAGTAAATAAGGCCATTCAACTTATAATTATTGGATTTCAAGTTATAAATAAATGAAAATTGACCAAAGTGATGACAAAATAATCTTTGAATATGTAAATAAATAAAAATAAACTGTTTGTGTATCTGAATTAGAGATCTAACGATCTTCATATATTTAACTATACGAATATATTTTAAGAATAAGAATACGGAATGTCACCACCCCTATACATCCCGTGGGTGTCGTAAGATGCGACTAAGGGAGCAAACTACTCAGGACAACAGCACTGCAAAGAGAAGGAAAACTTGAAACAAACCCTATACCAACCCGTCTGGCCAACGTGGTATATTAGGCCAAAACCTCCTTTTTAAGGAGAGGCTTATGTCCAACAGTGGACTATTATGGGCTGTTTATGATGATGATGATGAATATATTTTACCAAAAATGTCTTTTAATATGTTTTAAACATATTTTTAATACACAATGATATTACGGCCAGCATACGGTATATGTTTTCACAAGCTTTTATTTAACTTGCAATACCTAAACCGGCTACGCTGAAATTTTATAAACATGTTTATGTTGAATGACAAGAAATAAATAAATGGAAAAAATAAAAAATCAAATAAAACAGTAAACATTCATTAATCTAGAAACTTATTGTAAAATAAAGAACTTCGCAACAAAAAAATCACTGTAAAAGTCAAAACTCTACATATTTTTAAAATGAAAATTAAATTAATACACAAAGGAAACGTAAAAGTATTTTGTTTAAGGATTTCTAAGATTCTTTCCTTTCCCATAGATATAACTAGCTAAGTTGCATATCTTCTTACTTTTTAACTGAAAATAGTTTAAATAGTTTAGCATGAAAATAGCAATATCTACTTATGATTTTTTTGACACGGTTTTTTGATAACTTCAGTTTGTTGTTTTTTACCAAATGGAATTACGTCAGCTTTAGTCGTGATGGGGTAAAGTATAAGAGGAGAGACAGCGTTCTTTTTACAATTTTACAAAGTAGGTCTGAGTTTTTAATAAGGGAGTTTTTTGCGGGTTTGGAAATAAATGATCGATCGTGATTAATTTCAACATTATCATACATTAAAGTTTTTTTATTTGTTGGACATACGATACATTTTCGCAACAATTTCTTCAAAACCAATGGCTTAATATAAGCAGTGGTAATACGTTACACTTGAATGTACAGAAGCCTCACCGGATCAACTTTTCATTGTCCAATAAATAACCGGCGACATCTCACACAGCTGTCTAATCCTAAACTAAGCAGTCAGTTCAATATTGTTAATATGGTGACCAGATTACTGATAAACACACTATTATTTTTAAATATACACATATCTAAATATACATTTATTTATTTTTATGTTTGTTTCGGTGCGCCTCAAAAACTCAAAAAGTACACCAGATGAGCTGAAATTTTTACACGATACACAATACGCTTTAAGTATGGGTTTTATCTGTTTTTTTGCAACCACAATGTGCAACAGCAAATCGTGGCAGGGTACAGCTAGTTATAGATAAAGTACACTCAATAAATGGAGACTCCTAGATGGGATCGGAACCTACGATTGGCTCCAGCACTAGGATCCAACTCAGCCAGACCTCTAGACGGATGGCGTAGTGGTTTAAGCGGTGGCCACGCCGCTTCCTACTACGCTGAGTGTTGTGGGTTCGATCCCACACGGGACGACACTTTGTTTGATCCACAAATTGTTGTTCTGAGTCTGGGTGTTCTTTGTGTCCGGTTCATGTATGTTTGTAATACTAAAGTCTCCCGCGACACAGGATACATTCCTTACCTTCCCATTTTTAAACAAAATTAAAAAAAAAAAACAAATAAAAATTAAGGCCCAGTCAGTTTTATAAATAAAAATCAATTTTATTCAGTTTTCGATGTTCACTTAAAATAAATCACATCAAATGGGTAGTGGAGAGCAAGATGTTGGTATTTCAAAGGATGTTTATATTGCAAAGATACCGTTGATTTCACGGGCCGACGGTCACGACGAAAACAATTCAGGAAAGGTCGCCACTTGACATTTGATAGAATGCCCGCCGAAGCATGAATAAGCCTAGGAGTTAGACTTAGCCCGCCATGTCGCTTTATATATTTCCTTGTCGAATTTTATGAAAATGCTTCCTTCGTAATACTCGTTTTCAATTTTCTATTGTCATCTGATGTTGCGTTTAATGTTTTCTATTTGGCAATTACTCCGAGGTAGATTGAAAAATGGAGTACAATTCGTTTTTAGTACATTTGAATAGCAGTATTCTTCTGTAGATCTCTTTAACAAGCCTAATAAGAGCATTTCAGTATAAATTCGTGTTTCATACCAACTTTTGTGGCTGCGTTCGTATTCGTGTCTTTCTTTTCAATTCTTTTTTGAAGAATATAAGTAGCCTATGTGCTATTTCAGACTTCAGACCATGTATTAAAAAGTAGTGTATCTCAGTGCCGTATTTCATCGAAATCTGTTTAGTCGTTCTAATTTACTTCTTCTTCTTAAAAATCTATACAAACTAGTTTTACAGTAGTAGCAAGAAGAGAAGTAATGCTATTGTATTCGTGTTTTCTTTCTGGATAGAATCCCTAATTTTTACTTCTTTCTGTCAATAACTATAAATATTACGACTTATTACTAGAAGTTGTAAATTTGCGCAAACCAATTGCTCATAAGTTGAAATTGCCAGTTCAAATATTCTACAAGTACCACAAATGGTTTTGCGTTGTGACTCCTTATGCAGTAATTGGTGTAGTGTGTGGTAGAAATGATATTTGAAATGAAAACATTTGGTGAGTTTCACAATTACAAATATGTAGGAACATATAGTATTCTGTTTAAATTTTAATTAAATAATGGTAGGAGAAGGACAAATAAAAAGTTTACCCGTCAAATACACAATAAAAGTTAATATATGAATGGAAGTTAGAGATAGAATTTTTTTCTGTGCAGTTATCCCCTTTTTTTTCCGTGCAGAAATCCCCTCGGATACCACTCACCGGTGGTTATGTCGGAATCGAACCGACCAAAAACCGCACGCCGTGTCGGGTACCAGTTGCCGGGGAACCAGGTGTACCCTAGGAAGGAAATTTCTGATACCCCGACGTACCTCAGGCCATCTACGGACGACGTTTGCAACTAGGAGATGAAACTAGTAGGAAATTAATAATCCCACTGAGTATGCAACGGGGTCTCCTGGTTGTACATTTTTCACCACTTGAAGAGAAGCATAACTTATCATCATCC